CCTTTTTCCCTGATGTAAACGAATAAAGAATGTTGCTCATGCCAACAACGGTCTATTTCAATGATTCACTGTCCATTCAGGTAGTGAGAGACGTTCCCAAGGACATACAACTAGATTTTCAGTGTTGCTGCTTCCATGACGGAGGAAAGACAGACATGTACAAAATGTGATAACTGCCTTTGGCTCTAGAAACAAGGTGATATATTTCCTGCAGTCAATATACATCATTCTGTTTTTCCAATGTTCACCTATCCAGAATGCACTAAAACCAAAGACTCTCATGACAATTCATATAATATTTGCTACACTGGTGGCAATAAGAGTACGTTTTTGTATGATCTGCTCACACCCCGCTGAAGATTTGGTTTTGCAAACCAATACATTTTCATTCAGACTGTATGAGTTTATGAAATTGCCAACTCATATACTCATGAATTCTTATGATATCAGGTTCTACATCAACTAAAACGCCAGCCTGAGCACTTTCGCCAAACGTAGGAGACCAGCAACCACCTTAAAAGGCCTGTTCACACCAAAACAAATGTTTTTCAAAAGAAATACTTTTATCCTCATACGATCAGATCAATCCTAAAAAAGCGGCATTATGTTGTAGGTTTAACATGTTGTTGTTTTATGTAACAGCACCAGCTCTGGGCATGTAGCTAAAAGCAAAAAAAAAAAAAACTTACTGGTTGGCCAGTCTTTGCAATACAATGGAAAAGAGTTTTAACCCTTCACCATAAAAAATAGATGTTGCTTTAATGTCATGCAAACGTTCGAATTAGATGCACTAATAAAAATTAAAATGATCATACAACATTTTCCTGACAAAGAATTGTGTGTGAGGCCTTTATGCTGGTTTAAGCTGTTTTTTTTTAAGCAGGGTCACCACAAATGCTCAGAAACTACAGACATCGGGTGCCAAATTAATCTGAATTGTGCAAAAGTCCCCTGCAAGTTATCTGTAACATATCACTTTCTTGATACCTGCCAAATACTGGATGCAGTGAGCTTTTAAATTCAGCTCTTCGCATTAGAAAAAACTAGGTGAACTCTAGATCAGTTTTTTACACTATAGTCTCAAGACATTAGCACTTTTATGAATAGCTGAAGTAACTGAGTTTAGAAAAATAAGGTCTTTCAGATGTTGTTTAAGGCTACTCAATACTATACTGCTTTCATAACTACAGCAGGGATCTCCACATATATGACGGTTAGCGATAACATACTCAGCCAGTTTTACTGTATTTGCCCTGTAGAATCAGGCAAGTAATTACCTCTCAAAGTTGTAAGCGTGAAACTTAAAACAGGTAGGCCGCAGTCCACCTACTATTAAGTTACCATGGAATGGCGTGTTCAAGTTTACTTGGTAGCTCCTCAACAAAATAGTGAGGCATATGTTTCATGTTTAGGCATGTCAGGATTGACCAAAGAGTGCAGAAACACATAAAACTGAGAGCTGATCAGGGTCAAGGAGTGGAAAGCAAAGTGTTGGCGATGATGGGCCCCAGATGAATGTCTTGGAAATGTCTCACAAGACAGAAAGATTCACCTCTTCGACAGTGAAACTCAGATGTGTGCAGCTGGAGGTACAAGCTGTTGTGAGAGAACCATTCTGACCTTGTTCCTCAGCCTCCTCCATCTGTCCGTGCCGTAATAATGTCACACACACAAGGTTATAATAATCCGTAAAGCACACGTTGTTTCGCCCCGAAAAGTGAGCCACAGACATGGGCAATCATTAGCTAAGGTTAACACACATAAAATTTATCCTCAAGCGGACTTTGCTTCCTCTAGCCCGTATTAAAAAAGCCCACAAAGCTGTAACTTTACCTATAAATGCTAAAAGTGACTGCATGGCTTTATCCGCCATATTTTTTCAACTTCACTTTTCTGTGAATATGCGAGACTTCCGATTCATCAGCTGCTCAGGTAAACAACAAGAATAACAAAGTGCAATAAACGGTTAAAGTATTTGCTCAACAAACCAGTCTACCATTACTAAGTTAATAAAATAATATATCAAACATCAGTGTGCAACTCACTGTTTTATAAAGATAACGTACCTGAAAGAAGCTGACTGACACCGGAAGCCTCACACATTCAAGGTTAAAATAGCCGCGCCCGCTTAACGTTAAAAATGAGGCGATTAATCGATGTGTAACAGCTCAAGTAATTTACATAGCCTCCGAAATCACACTTTTGTGCTAGCACTAAACGTCTACATGAGCACGTGTACATTCTATGTAAATTACGATTTTTAAAAAAACCTGTATAAAGCTTTCATTCCGTTGTTAAAATCAAACATTTAGCCTAAATAGTATTTAGATAGTAGCCTACATAAATAGTAAATAGTATTTGTCAAAATGGGTAATATGTATTTTACCCATTTAAAAAAAAAAAAACCAAAAAAATTGAAAGCAGAAAATTATCTGGGTGCACATAGCCCGTCTAATAAACTCACAAAAATCACAAAGAATGAGTCGCTTCCCAGCATTTTTGGTTCTGTGTCTGTTGGAAAAGACTTTTTACCATGGGTTTGTTCATTGAGCTGTAAAAATCTATAGCTACACAGACGAGACAACAGGTCAGATATGGGCATGTGTCAAAATGATACCAAGAAAGATTTATCATCTGCTGCTTGTACCATGCACCCATCTAACCTTGACCACAAGGACATGCAGAGGTGAGGTGTTTAGACGTTTCAAGTCTAATAGAAAATACGAAATAGAAATAAACTGGCAGGACATAACCGTTGAGTAGCGATATCACATTTAAACGAACTAGAGCACTGTCTTTTTTGGCATTTCTCAAACATACAAATAAGACACAAAATGTAAGGAAGAAAGGTAGGGGATCAAAATAATTTCTGCCCAAACTTCAAACAAAACATCTCTTCATTTAAAAAAATGGAGTGCTGTCCATTGTGCTGTCATAACACAGCATTACACCCCTTTTATCAGGACTTGTACATTGTTTTTTCACCAAAATAATCACAACTCATCTCTTTTTTTATAGAAGTGCATGAAAACATATTTATCACGTAGTTCTAATCTTCCTCCGTTATTTGGTGTTGATTTTCTGTGCCAAAACCAATTGACTTCACCTCCCTCAACATATTATTCTTTACATCTTTACAACAAGGAGGCAAGCTGATGCTGACTGTGGATGCTCTTTGTAGAAGGGAAGAGTTAAAACAACTGATTTTAGTACACTTCATCTCAGACTTCTCCATACTGACTGTTTCTTAATGTAGGAGTATTTTCATCCAAACAGACTCAGTCAGTGCAGCTGTTTCTGGTTTGGTTTGGGCCCAGTGAGTGCTTCAAGATGGACATGGAGTCACATATGAAAAAGAATGATAAACTGATGATATAGCATTCGATATAAAATTATAATAATAATAATGACCTGCACTATTTGGTGTCTTAGATTAACTGCGAATATATTACATTATTATGAAATATGTGGACCTAATGAAAAACACTGACTTAATGTTAAACAACAACAGGAAACAAGTAGTCTCCACATTACACACAAAAAAATGAAATGCATTGGAACACAAGTAGAGTATAAAGTTTGCATATTTTGGTATTTTAATGACCCCTAATCATTTTCACAGCTATTTGTCTTGTCATTTGAGACTGTGTTTTTGTGTGTATGTGATTGCGTGTTCGGCACAGGAACTTTTCAGGACCGTTCACACAGGACACATTCGAACATTAAAATCCGCTAAATCCTGCACAGAACTGAAAAGAGTATCATAACCCAACCCATGAATTGTTGTTAAATATAAACATGCTCATCACACCCTCATATTCATTTGATTGGTCTGTTATTTTTCTATTTTTCACTGATACTCATCCACTCTTCTGCATGCCAGAGTTGAACTTGACATGGCGTCTGAAAATGTGACATTCATGGCACAAACAAAATTAAAAAAAAAATGTGCACTTATGCTGCAATAATATATTTTAAATGTATTGTATATATACATATATCTGTGTACTGTATGTATGTGAAAAATGCTATTTGTTTCTTTATACACCATATTCCAAGGGTTGGGCCTTTATGATCACAAGTTGGAAATATCAAATAGGAATATCCCACTTCTGAATGGAATGCATCAAACAAAGCAACAGTTGAAAAACTACACAAACGTGTCCTGTGTGAACGGTCCCTTTACTCTCCCTGTCCCAAAGTACCAGGACCAATTGGTGGAGCGGACACATCCATCAGCCTGATGTCAGTCTCTCTTCAGTCCTGCGCTAGAGGAAGATGTGCAGTGGAGTGAGGTCCTGAGACGCTGTGAGGCCTTCCATCCCTCCCGTCTATCTCTCCACTGGCCGCTCTAACCGGATGGATGTGCTGATAATGAGGGCAATTCGTCTGAGTGATGGGAAAGTGGGTTGAGTGGGAGAGACTATATGTTCTTTATTTCTTTGTTATCTGTCAAAAGCTATTAGCACTGACAGCCCGGCCCATGACCCCCTCACATTTAACCCACAAGCCCCTTTGAAAAGAGAAGGCTTCCGTGTGACAAACCTCAAGGTGCGGTCACATTAGCGAAAATCTGAGGGCAAAAAACTCACCGCTCACACAGGAGTCACTTTCAAACCAAACTGTTTTTTGTTGGTCAGTGCAGCCAACAAACCTCAGCTGAAATTTACATTGAAATTACTGGATTTTGCCAACGAAAATTCGCCGAACAATGGTAAATGTGACCGCACCTTTACCCTGAAGGGATGCAAAGCAAGTCAAGGCGGTGCATCTGTAAGACGACATCAAGTGCCCACAAGCGCAAGTCTACACAACAGCAGCATATTTCTCAGAGCCACAGTCATTTCGAGGCCTCTCGCATTTGGTCGTTCACACTCACACACGCACACTCGTACTTTTTTTTCCCCGAACCCCCGATTGCATTTGCCATCGATTTCCTGTTGGCAAAGCAACATGATCATAAAACATCTCTGTGGATCAAATTCATGTAAACATACACCTTATGTTAGAGTGGTTTATATTGCATGACGGTGGAAAGGGGGGGGATGTCACAGTTCAGATGGGGGTCAGCTCCCAAAAGAACACAACCTGGAAAGGAAAGTAAGGAAAAAAGGCCAAAAAGAGACAACAAAAGAGTAAACGAGTATAAAAAATGAGGCGTCCGTATAAGAAAGGCTACAAAAAACTCCACTGGCCCTCTGGCCCTCAGCATACAGCAAAAGGCACCACAATATTACTCTATTTTTTTTTTAAGTTGTGAAAAAATTGGCACATCTTTTTTATGCTGTAAATCAAAATGTACATATAAATAGAGTTTTCCCTATAAAAAAAGTCTTTGCTGTTAACTAGTAGACAACTTTTGCTAAAATGAAAATAAATATTTCATTTGTTTATAATATCTGTCAGTTATATAAAATAAAAATATTTCTTATAGGTGCATGTCTATAGTAGATCGGTTTTTGTGGATAAGTGGCGGTCTCTCTAGTGGGGTGCATTGTCCAGTTTGGAGCGCGAGTGCGTCAGTCTGGTCTGTGTGTTGGCGCGTGGCCCGTGCCGCCCGCTCTGGGCGTGAGAAGTCTGCGTGTCAGGCACGGGCCTGTAGAGGGTGGCGGGCTCGGTGGCGTTCATGTTCTGCATACTGAGGAAGGGCGTGCTCTCACCTTCCTCCTCCTCCGAGTCACTGTCCGACAGGCAGCTGCGCGAGCCTAAGTCCCGGGAGGGTTGGTAGCCGCGTGGCGCCACGTGGCCGTTGAGTCTGGACCTGTGCCAACTCCGACTGCTTCTCTTTGGTTGCTCCATCGAGGAGAGGTACTCCTGGGTGCTCTCGTACTCTTCCTCCTGAGTCAGCCGGTAGGGGCTGGATGGAAGGCTGCCGGTGCTGTCTCGCAGGTAGCTGCCGTGCTGCTGCTGCCAGTAGGGCTCGTGGCCCCGGGCCTCGTGCAGGGGCACCTGGTAGCGCCGCAGCAGCGGCTGGTCCTCCTCTGGCGGGTAGGGGGCGTGGGCGGCGGGGGGCAGAGACATGGCGTGGCTAGCGTTGGGAGACGTGATCTGGAAGGTAGGTACCTGCGGGGGCAGTGAGTAATGGAAGTCCACGGGAGACAGGCGAGCTGGAGTGGTCAGTGCCGACACGTACCTGTGCCAAGAGAAGGGCAGGGAGAGAGAGACAGCAGAGAGAGGAAGAAGAGCGAGCAAGAGCGGGAGAGAAGAAGGTTGTGTGGAACAGATACGCACGTCAGTCAAACGTCTCAAGTACACGTACTGTAAAAGCGAAGGGACCCACCACCGAAAAAGAAGTTGCATTCAGGGGTTCTCAAACTTTTCGGGTCACCCACATAACAGAATGAAACCATTCACTTTAGGATCTCACAAGTGGCAAATCATGGAGACATGGATTTGCATGGAGATCACTATCCATCAAGGTTGGATCGATAATTGGTCTTTGTTCCGAAATGTAATTAATAATAAAAACACACTACCATTCAACATTTTGGGGTCTGTATGACTATATTTTATTGTTTTTAAATTTTATTTGAAAGTCTCTCATGCTCACCAAGTCAGCATTTATTTGATCAAAAATAGAGTAAATCTTTAACATTGTATAATTGCAATTTGAGATAACTATTTACTATTTAAATATTTTTCTAAAATGTAATTTATTCCTGTGATGGCAAAGCTGATTTTTCAGGAGCAATTGTTTCATTCACAAGTTTCACATGATCCTTCAGAAATCATTCTAATATGCTGATTTGCTGCTCAAGAAACATTTCTTCTTATTATCAATGTTGAAAACAGTTCTAATGTTAATTTTTTTTTTTTAACAAAACCAGCATTTGTTTGCAATAGAATTTTTTTGAAACAATTTAAAAGTCTGTACTTACACTTTTGTTCAATATAATGCATCTTTGTTGAATTAAAATATGAATTTCTTTTTGTTATGGTAATGGTAATATACAGAATATATTATACATTTTGAAAAAGATATAAAATAAAATAAAGTAATATTTCATTGACTAATAAACTTGCTCAAAAAACAAAAAACAACAACAACAAAAAACAATACAATACAGTATTTCTTGTGCTTCTGACCACACATGGGTGACCTCAAGCTTGAGAACCTCTTCCTCAAGTACCCCCATTCATGGAGAACCTGGAATTTTAGGCCTGGAAAAGTCAAGAAAATCATTTTTAAAAATGTTTTTCCTAGTTATACTCAACTTGCTCTGTGAGTGCAACCTCTCTACTGCATAATGGATAATTAATGAATATCCACTGGTCTAAAGGTGTGGGATCCCTGTTCTGTGTCTGCTGCCCATATGCGGTGTTCCTGCCTTGTACTTTTGCAGTACTGTATCAATTTGCGCCCACCTTGCTATGGTACTAGAAAAAGGATAGTATGCGCACTAAGACATGGCGGCTGAAAGCTCAATAGCAAACGACAGCAGATGTACACACTACAGGAACAAATGAGGCCACGTCAAACCTCCCAGTCTTGGCTTAGCATTGTTACTGCAGCATGCCACCAGATGGATGACAACGCTTGCCTTACGAGTTCCCTTTCATTAGCGTAAATCATGCTACACTTAATCATGTACGCGGGTAATTTTCCTTGATGCCTTTGACAGAAAAAAAAACCCCCTCCTTATCTGCGCCTGTTCCTTTGACCTGTGCTGTGTGAGTTAAAGTGAGCGTGCCCTGAGAGAGGAGGCCACAGTCAAACTGGAGCAGATAAATTAACACTGGCTGCTCTGTCACAGATTTGCAGAGCCTGAGGGCAGATAGCCGTACGCACAACAGCTCAGTCAGCTGCAGAGCAGGAGAGAAGGTAGAGAGGGAACTACTGCAGAGCAGAACACCAGAGACCTGTTTCACCCCTGAGATAACGTGTTGTTCGGCTCTTGTTGACTTAATGAACCCCTCACGGTATAAATTCTCCTGTTTTGGCCCCTGCATGGTGGCGTGGGCGTTTCGCAGGCGAGCGATAACTGTAAATACAGCTGGCCATGGGCTAGAATCTCTCTGCCTTGATACAAATACTGCGTATCTGGAGCAGCAAAGCTTTGCTCGACCCCGACTCCCTCTCTGACACTCTCAGCTGGGCCAGAGCATCTGCACGATTTGCGCAATGAGTTTTACTGTTATATTCTTCACAGTATGCAGTGTGCAATTTATACAATGACTTTTGAGGGGTCAGCTTTCTTATTTCTTATGCTGATTTATCAGTTTTATCAATGATATTATTATAATACTGTAAACTAATTTTATTAAGTTGCATGGGCTGTTAAATTGTCTTTGGAGTTCAGGTTTGGAGTTCACCCCCAACCCTCCCTGTAATGGTACGTGCTGTGAATATTTGCTATTGAATCTTTCACGCCACCCATGCCAGTCCCCAGGGGTAAAGGAGACTGTGCAGTGAAACGCAGAGGAGTCTTACTGCACACACTAAAATAGTTCTCAGTGCCATGGCTGCAGAGAGGGGGCGCTCCTGCGCACCTGTCGCTATGCGGAGAGTCCCCAAGCGAGTCGAAAGAGTCGCCGTACTGCAGGGCCGGCCGGTGGGGCTCAGTAAAGCCACAGTGTGCGGCACGCCTGGCCCGTGCCTCCATGCACGCAGGACTGTTGCATTTACTGGTCCCCACTGAGGACGACATCATGCCGGAAGGACAGTCGGAAAGGACGCTGTCTGTTCGCTCCAGACTCCACGTTCTCCCTTCATGTCTGAGAAAGACAGAAAGAAAGAAAGAGAATGGAAGAAAAGGGAAGGAAAGAAAGCAGGATAGAAAAAGTGCACAAGATGCTTAACCCAGTGGTTCTCAAAGTGTAGGGGGACGGGAGCTTCCCAGGTTCTTAGATTTCTTTCATTTCCTTTGGCTTCACAAGACTATGATTTCACAAGAATATAGAGCATGCAGAGTCATGTGGACTACTTTTATGGTACTTTTATGTGATTTTTGAAACTGGACAGTTGGTCATAATCCTCTCATGTCTCATCCATCTCTGTTTGTGTTCCACAGATAAAAAATACGGATTTATACCGACATGAGGCCAGTGTTATTTTAGTGCTATTTATAAACTATAATAATTTTTATTTTTATCATTTTAATTACACTTATAGGGCCAGATTTACTAACAGCTTGCGCCAACGCAAACCGTCTTTTGGCGTTAAAATAGTACTGTCAGGATTTACTAAAGACGCGCAGTGAAGAATTAGCG